CTCCCGTCGCCGTCTGGAGCACAACATCATGAGCAGTATCACCGGCAGCAGGCACAACTGCGAACAAGGCCAACCAAAGCCTCAGCTGGGTGGGGGTGCACAGCCCACCACAACAACGAAACCACAGGGGGGGCGGGGAAGGGCACCACCACAGGACTCACCCCGGGGGGGGATACCATGGGGTGGGGGGGGGAGGGGGGTGTGGCAGCCCTGCATCATACATATACATATATATATATATGTGTGTGTGTGTGTGCATTCATACGTATGTATGTACGTATATATGTAAGGGGTGGATGTGGATTACGCCTGTTTCGTCGAAGGTAAGTAATCATGGGCGCACACCTTGTTCCATGGATTGCGTGGCTGATTTTGCGTCTAATGTAAGGGGGTTGATTACAGGTTCCACATTGGACACGTTTCGGTGCTTTGACGCGTGGCCGAAGTTTGGGCATTCGGGTGTACCGGAAATTCTTGTCACACATGCCGCGCTGTGTGTTTCATTCTCCATCCAAGGTGCCACTGTGGAGACAAGAATAAGACAAGTAATTATGCGTGAATTAAGCGATCCACCACAACTCTTTTGACAGTGGATGCCAGTGACAAAGGTTTCGAGGACAGCGTGCTGAAGGGGCTGAAGGTCATAGAAAAGATGGAGGAGGAGAGCTCTATGTTTGCCACAAAAAGCTGCTTCATTCACCCAAGCGAACGCAGTCTTGCAGAAGCAGCGGCGAATATCTCGCAAGCAAACCCCTATCCTCGGTGGGCCAGACTCCCAGACACAGTTATGGCGGGGCAGAGTACATCAGCAAACTTTTGCAGGAACTGAAAGAGCTCAAGAACGAAGATGCGGATCTCAAGGAGGAGCCCGGCCGTTTTTGAATTATAGTTGGTTCATGTGCGCAGAATTAGTTGGCATCGTCCATGGCTTCTTATTGTAATTGGTTAAAGTTCGGTCGTGCCCAATGAAATATATGAAATGGTGTGGACAGTAGGACCCGAAGGTGATCGATTGGGCGGGTTTAGAAAGGCAGACCGCCAACCAAAACAAACTACATATGATTGCACTGGGCTTGCAGATCTTGGCATGCCGATCATCGGGTAAATGGTTTGCTCTGCTGCACAGGGTTGCTCATGGGTATGTCGCGCCCAACCCTGCCGATGGTATTGTAGCAAATGAATATGCATGTATATGCATACGCAAATGTACATGTAGACATGTATCTTTATTATAATGTGCAGATGTGCGTAGATAAGTAGAAGTGCCCGAACCACATCACTAAATGCTGATATTGGCCGGGTCATGCATGCTTTTCCATCGTTGGAACCTTCGTTGCTCGGATGCCTCCGCCTCTCCCGGCTTGTCCCAGCTGCAAGAGTCGAAACCTTGGCAAAGGCTCCCTACAAAGGTATGTATGTATGTATGTATGTATGTATCTATGTATCGATGTGTGTATACATATATACATCTCTTCCCTCTCTCTACATAGAAAGAGAGAGAGGTTAATTATAGGTATATAATTTTACATATTTGTAGACACATACATACACGTATGAAAAGGGAAATGCACTTGCAGATCAGTGCCTTCGAAGCCAGGAGTTGGCGCGTCTTCAAAAACCCGAAGGCAACGGCCAGCTGGCCAAGGCAAAGCTCAGCTTAGGCTTTACTAGGTAGGGTGCTCAGGCTTTTGGCAGGTTGTGGTTCATGATGACTTTCTCTTCCTTGTAGTGCTGGTAGTTGGAACAACCCGCGCTCATTTCAGTGCGCTGGGTTTAAAGGCTTACTTTAAAAGCTTTTCGGTCCCAAGCCGTTGCCGCAGGGAAGAAGTAGTAGGTGTCAAGCGAGGGCTGCTGAAGGCTTCCATTTACATGTAGCGTCGGCTTCGGTTGCGGTAAGATGGTGTAGTCTTTGTCACGAGGATTCCCGAACATATATTGCTGCAAGCTTTCTCCTGTTAAACCCGCTCTGTTCCCGCAGATTTCGGATTCTACATGCGAAATGACCCTCCGGACTACTGTCCTACTCTGATTGATTCTTGGGCCCTCAACGCGAGGCCACAGGCCAGAAGGACACCCCGCGAACGAACCAGTTCTGGAAGTCTGAAATTCTGTAGCACTCAGCAGAACTTGACTGCGTTTAGCACTGGCTGCTCTAGGCAAAAGCCACAGCCAAGAACCAGAAGGCTACAAGATGAAATGTACCACGTATGACTACGAGAATACATACTCTACCGTATACTATAACGGAGCCGTTCTGCTTCCAACGAAGGTGCCTCGCGGCCGTCTCGACCTCCCGGCGATAGTGGCTCAGCACGAGAATGCAAGCGAACTCAGAAGCAGCTGCCGCTCGGAAAGCAGGGTTTTAGGCTCTAGTGTTTAGTGAAATTGGCGCTTGTAGGATTCAGGGTTTACGGATGGTGTTGAGTGCTGGGGGCTGGATGCAGATGGGCTAGATGCTTACAAGGTGTGCGGTGTGCTTGGGCGGATGTCGCTGATGATGGTGATGATGATGATGATGATGAAGATCCTGTTGAGGCCAAATGCGGGACATAAGGAGTAATTCTGGGAGGTGAAAATGTGACAATGAATGTCAGTTATGTGTCTTGCGGCTGCTTTGGTACACTGTTGAGTGTTATTTCCTTTTTTTTGCTGTACAGGCATGCTTGCTGCACATCATGCCTAATGCAACCTGTCCCTCAGGCCATGGTTTCTACACGTAGCAATCCCTGACTCTTCCTAGTGTGGAAGTTTGATCTGCTTTCCAGAAGCTTTGGAAGGGAAGGGGACACGAATCCTGTAATTGTAAATGCTGTCCGGCCGCTCAGCACTTAACCCTCATCATATTTCAAGCCAGGTCGCAAAGCATCGCCGCTACCTGCTGCGAGTGCCCTGAAAGGGAACGATGCGGAGATCCCGAATTTGCAGCAGAGGAAGTCAGAGCAGGCGTTGCCTTGCTTTCACGAGTGTAGGGATAAGTATGTGCTTTATCAGGCCGAAAAGTGACTGGTTAGAAGCTAAGGCCTTAGTGGCTGGGTTCAGGAGGTTGTGCATATCTATCTTGACGGACTTGTAACTTCTAAGCCTTACTGAAGAAGGTGAGTTGCGGGTTCAGGATGTTTGTTAGTCAGGACCATTGTTTGCACTGCTGAGTACTGAAGCTTAAACACGCCAAGCCCTCACCCCAAGACTCCTCAACGCTAGACTGTTGGTGGTGATATATTTCTGTGCCACAGTACCGAAGTATTGCCGGTTGTTGTGGGGGGCTTGTGCAGCATTTCGGAGTGATCTTAGGGTTCACACACGCAATCGTGCGCCATTGCTGCCGCTGAACTAGGGGGTGTAGCTTTAGCCATGTGCAGACAAAATATAAGGTAACTACAGCTTGAAGGGTCGCGGCTGGTAGGGGGCTTGCCAGCAGAGGCTTCAGAAACCGCGGACAACTCAAGGCGGCAGCGCAAAACAGCAGTGCATGTCAGTGCAGAGATGATTTCACATTCCTGATTGCATATATATATATACATATATAAATATATATATATATATATGCTGTCTCACTCTGTCTCGCTCACTCCCTCCTCTCTGTCAGTCATTAGCAGTCCATGTTCTGATTGAGAGCCCAAGATAGCCCAAGTGCATGGCAGCACAAAGGTTTTTCTACAGTTTCGATTGCCCTTGGTCACCCTGCTCAAACCATCCCCCAAGCCAACCGTTTTACATGTAGGTTCCGCTTCCTGATGATGCAGCCGAAACTGTAATCCAGAGTTTCCGCCCAAACCCTAAACCCTAAACCCTGAACCCTAAACCCTTAAACCCTAAATCCTAAACTCCTAAACCCTAAACCCTAAACCCTAAACCCTAAACCCCTAGACCCTAAACCCCTAAACCCTAAACCCAACAGCCCCTAAAGCCCTAAACTCCCCTGAAAGGGGCTAACGCAGTGGGGATGGAGCGCTTCCGTGGAGGAGGCCACCGAGGCCACGTGTGCGAGCGGAGAGGCGCGGGGTTTCAATGGAGTTTAGGGTTTAGGGTTTAGGGTTTTAGGGTTTTAGGGTTTTAGGGTTTAGGGTTTAGGGTTTAGGGAATAGAGTTGTGGTTTCAATGGAGTTCTTGGAGGTTCATGGGTAGTTATAAATGGGGTTATAAGTCCCCTAGGGTTTAGGGGTTTAGGGTTTACTTGGAGGTTCATGGGTAGTTATACATGGCGCTTTATAGGTTTCCTTTAAGGGTTCTATGGGGTTCTATAGGGTTTTGGGTTTTGAGGTAGTAGCTATAAATGGGGTTATAATGAGGGTAACTATACTTATAAGCCATATTAGGGGACTTATAACTCGACTTATAACTACCCATGAACCTCCAAGTTGTGGAGAAGCATGTTATGCATTGTTGCTGAAGGGCTCTTTTGGTTGTGCCTACAGGTTTAGGAGTTCTTCTGAATTTGAGTCTATGGGGGAGGTTGAGCATGAGCGCCCTTCAGCCGCGCACTCAGCTTCCAAGATCGGACACAGCCTCCCTTCTTGCGTCAGGTCACGCTGCGGGATTTCCAGCCAGCCGGAGTTGCTGAGACCTGCTGTCCAAGATCGAAAGTGGTTGCTAGCCTTCTTGTTTTGAGCGCGTTGGGGCTAGTGTGACACACGGCCACAAGGTGTGAACCTTTGGGTGTATACGGCTCACGCTATAGCTTGGCAGATGTCCACACGCCTGTCTTGAAGCACGATTGTTTTGCCAGCGTGCTGCCCATGGCTGTCTGAGCCCCATGCCTTTCCAACAAAGCCAATCAAAAGTCAGACCTACGCTGCCAGGTTCCCAAAGGCAGCATTGCAGAGGTTCACTCAGACTTAGCCTTCAACCAATCAGAATTGACGTCTACATGCAAACCTCCAACAAGAAGGCCCGTAAAATTTCAGCAGCCTAGTGGTAGCAGTCGCTCATCCTAAACCGTCATGCTTGATCCAAGCTCCCCTTCGCAAGCCACGACCCAGGCTTGTGCTGGTTGCGCATCTTTCACGGGAGGTTCTTCCTGCCAGCGATGTGCTGAGGGCTTCATCATGCGTGAGGGCAAATGCACGGCATGCACGAACTCTGGTGGCTGGCTCCTGGGAGAAAATATAGGGGGTTTAGGGATGCTTAGGCCAGGGTTTAGGATTGGAATTTCTTTGCTCTGGATGTTCGCGTTCTTTGTTCCCGAGAAGGAAGATAGATCGGCAGCGCTGATGCACAGTCTCACCATGAACGAATATGAGTTTCCCCATCGGAACTGTTTTATTGTTGCTGCCGGCGTGGACGATATCTCATGGACTTCGTCTATCATAGCGCACATTTTGGGAAGTGCCAGGGCTGGCCGTAGCAGTGCTACGTCTGTATTCTCAAAACTGTTTGCGACCATTAAACGCTCCCAGAGGCTCAGCGTGGACGGGAAATCCTGCATGCAGCTGGCGGCGAGTGATTGCAGCGACGAGAAGGTGAGAGGCCAATCGAGCAATGAGGCTTGCTGCCAGTGCGGTGGTGGCATCGTTACGCAACTTGCCGGCAGGTAGATGTTCTGTGGAGTATCGGGGCTCCAAGCCGTACACCCCAGTAAACTCCCTTAAATCAATTCAGGAAGTCAATGACCCTTGAAGTTGCCTGAAACCCTAAAGCCTGGCTACCCCAGGCCGACACCCTTCTCCTATTCCAACAGCCGCTGGTCTCTCGACTCCAACATCGCGACTGGGCTTATGTAGGTCTTAAAAGTTCAAGACCTTCACTGTAACAGTTCACCATGGAGTCCAACAAGCTGCGTTGGAGCAAATATAAATATAAATATAAATATATATATATATATGTATGTATGTGTGTGTGAAGATCCCATATCTTGTAAGCTCAGCCCACAAGATGCGCTTGCGCTCGTCTCTGTAGCCTTCGCTTCCTGCGTATGTCGAGAAGACAAGCCCAGCCCGTCCCGGGCATGCGTGACCACTGCGCGCATGGTTGTCAATTGCGCCGCGCTTGGGAGGGAAAGTTGGAACATGGCCGATAGATAAAACCTTGAAACATGCCCGAAACGGGCCGTCGCGTCCTGCATGTTCCAAGATTGGGGCGTGTGTCTGTCTTTCCGTTTCTCTTCGACCTGCTTGCGTCCCTGCCCTCCCCCCGTTTCTCCCCCCCCCTCCCCCGTTTCTCCCCTTCCCTCTCCCCTCCTCCCTCTCCCTCTCCCTCTCCCTCTCCCTCTCCCTCTCCCTCTCCCGCTCCCTCTCCCTCTCCCTCTCCCCCTCCCCCTC